CCATGGCAAAACTCCTGTGGAGATTTTGCCAAGAAAAACCCAAGAACATGTTATAACAACAATAATCAATATCATTATGGTGGGCAGTGGTGGCAGCGGCGGTGGCAGCATGACCGGCTTGGGGCCGATCCAATGGCCTCGGGGGGCCACATCCGGCCCCCGGGCCTTAGGTTTCCTACCCCTGGTTTACATTTATATGAGTGTTTTTAGTTTTTTATTTGTCTCCATTTTTCTTGAAGGTCCTCCATTTTGCAGTGCCTGGTCCTCCTTTGTGGTGAGAACCTGTGGTCACCCTGAACACTGCACATCCAAAAAACTACCTCAGGAAACAAGGGTGGTAAAATTGTTGTTATTACCTACCTTTTCACCAGTTCAGACAGATTGTTGTTGTTGTTTTACCCCTCCAAGCCATTTCTGGCTTAAAGCGAGCCTCTGTGTGTGTGTTGTGTGCCTTCAAGTTGTTTCTGACTTATGGCAACAGCTCTTTCTTTGCACGATTTGTTCAGAGAGGGGTTGCCTCTGCCTTCCTCTGAAGCTGAGAAAGTGTGACTTGCTCAAGGTCACCCAGTGGGTTTTCATGGCCGAGCGGGGATTCAAACCCTGTTCTCCAAAGTTATAGTCCAACACTCAAGCCACTATGCCACACTGCCTCCCACAAGGCAAGCCTATCACTGTGTTTTCTTGGCAGAATTTGTTCAGATGGGGTTTGTCTTTGCCTTCTTCCGAGGCTGACAGAGAGTGACTTGCCCAAGGTCACCTAGTGGGTTTCCATGGCCGAACAAGATATTTGAACCCTGGTCTCCCAGAGTCCTAGTCTAACACATAACCCCCTATACCAGATTTCCAACAGCATAGTTAAAATTCACAAAATACAAAAGTTTAAAAGTGATTACAGTGGGACCTCACCATCTGGCAGCTTGCCATCTGCAGATTTGAACATCCATGGATGGCAAGCCCTGTTGTCCCAAATGGTGTGGCTGCACACACATTGTGCCACCATTAGGGACAACACGACTTGAAGTCCAGTGTTTTTCATATCTACAGGGAAGGGCCCAAATGGTTCCCCTCTGGATACGAAGGTCTGACTGTAACTAGGGTTCAGATCTCCACTCTGTCATGGAAACCCTCATACTCAAAATCATGTCCCCGGGGCAGTAATCAAGGACTGAATAGATTAACACTCTGCTAAATGGTTTTCCAGGAGAAAAGAATGCTTGGAAGCTGTAGTAAATGTTCAGACTATTGGTGTGAATATCCCAGAAACATGCAAACACCCTTGCTATAGTTTTTTGTGGGTTTTCTGGACTATGAGGCCATGTTCTAGAAGAGTTTATTCCTGACGTTTCGCCAGCATCTGTGGCTGGCATCTTCAGAGAAAACCCACAAAAAAAAAACTATAGATGCTGGCCATGAAAGTCTTTGACTTCACAACCCCCTTGCTGCTGGAGAAGTGTCCTTTGTCTGTGTATGCACAACCATCTCTATCTCAGAGTTCCTTTTAATATTAGATTGATACAAAATATGAGAGGGGTTTTGGGGGGCCTGGTCCCAAGTTATATATACAAATATATGTGGCAGAAAGCCACCCTTTGGTAGATTCTGCCATATGAGGCAACTGCCTCACTTTTCCTTAACAATAGTGCCAACCCCGTCACTGGATCTTGGATTCAGTATTCCCATTAAAAGAGTTTTATGGGAAAGGAAAGTCACACAAAATTAAAATGGCAATAAAATTAAAATGCCAAAGAAATCAAAGAGTGATCTAAGTGATACTCCAGTGTCCTTGAAACTACAAAAAATGTGTTAGCCTCACATCCTAGGAAGGATTGGCTACATTTTGTTTTCAGTAAGGCTGCTGTGCTGGAGCATAAATTCAACACGCATAACTCCCAACTCTCAATGTGGTGATACTGTAATGAAGAAATCTGTGCCTGTTCTTTACTGTTTGTTACACAGTGTTAGCAGCCTTATTATGGGAAGTGTGTGTGGGGGGGGGGGGGGGAGAGAGAGGGTAGAAGTTTAAGCTAAGAAATTGCCTGTAATGTCAAGTAAGGCTTAGGCTGAGCCTGATTAGCCTAGGACATACTTTAACATAATTGAATCATAGAGTTGGAAGAGATCTCAAGGATCATCAAATCCAACCCCATTCTGCCATGCAGAAACATAGAATCAAAGCACCCCAACAGATGGCCATCCAGCCTCTGTTTAAAGACCTCCAAAGAAGGAGACCCCACCACACTCCAAAGCAGCATGTTTTAAAGTTGTTGTTGTGTGCCTTCAGGTCATTTCTGACTTATAGTGACACTGGGGCAGGCAAATTGTCCCCTTTAAGGGCCGAGGGACTTCAGCTCCCAGAATTCCAGACTATTGGCCAACATGGCTGAGGCTTCTGGGAGCTGAAGTCCAAAATCCCTAAGAGGGCCAAGTTTTATTGGCAAGCTTCTTCAGAGTGAGGTTGCTGTTGCCATCCTTGAGGCTGAGTGAGTGACTTGTACTGCAGCCACAGTCCTCTACCATACTGGGTGGGGTTGATGAGAGTTAAATCCTAAACATCTGGATGGCTGAAAATTGCCCCAAATTTGCTTTAAACACTGCCTGTTTCTCTCACTCGGTTCCACATTAGTAAAGTGGAACAACTGATCTGAGCTAGCTAATTTGTGTCCAGATGGATCAATTGAATAGTAAACATCTGACCTCAATTACCAAAATCAATTCAGTCTTGCAGACTTATAGTTTCTCTCTGTCCAGCAGCCTATCTAACCGTCCAATTGTCCAAACCTGTTCAATAAACATGTCCCTATGCCACTAGAACATGACTCCAGCAATATGAGTTTTAACTATGTATTTTTAACTTATGTTTTAATATTAAGAATGTTTAATTATTTTTTAATTTTTGTTAATAAATATGTTTACTTCTCTCTTTTAAAATTATTTTAACCTGCCTTGAATCCCATGGAGGGAGAAAGGCGGGATATAAATCCTTGAAATAAATAAATTAAATATCAGCAATCTTCTCTAAAGATGCCAGCTACAGATGCTGGCAAAACACCAGAAAGAAACTCTTCTAGGACATGGCCACACAGCCCGAAAAACCCACCAAAAAAAAAAAAAAACTATGGATGCTGGCCATGAAACCCTAGACTTCACAACAGCAATCTTGCTTCAGTTTCCTGCTGGACTTCCTAATCTCCCTTCCTTCTTGCTTTCTGTACCTTTAACAGTAACAAGATAAGAGGAAATCAAACAGATGATGTTTTAACTACATCTGTGTTGTGAAAAGAGCCATCTCACCGTATTTCTGCCTGCCAGCTTCTTCAGGGGGGGAAAACTGCTTGTCAACTGGCTTCTAATACTCTGCTGTTTTGCCTTCTTCCTGTCTTTTCTTATTTTTACCAGCTATTGTTTGGGTATGTTGTTAACAGATGCCAAAAGATATAGTGATGGCTTCTCAGCCCTATGGTTTGAGAGGCAGATTAGAGAAATTTATGGGCCATCCATGGCTACTACCATCAGTGGTTAGGGCCATCAATAGCTCCTAACTAGGATGGCTATGTATCATCTCCTGTATCAGAATCAGTGTGTTTCTGTTAGTTGAAGGATGCTGTTGTGCTCATGACCTGTTTGTAAGCTTCCATAAGAATCTGGTTGGCCATTTTATGGACTGAACATTGGCTTCAGATAGGTCTTTGGTCTGATCCAGTAGAGCAATGGTATTCAAAGTGGTGATCGATGAACCAGGGTCATTCCCTGACAAGTTTCCAGGAAAGAAAGAAACAATTGTACCTGAAGGGTGCAAATTTAGTTACTGTTCCTGCCACAGTAGAAGACAATAATTACTGGATAGTCTGAGAAGTGTTGCAGTAGAAGTCTTCTCATGTTCTCCATTTATCTGAGAAAATAGGAAGTTCTAGGACACCTGTTTGCCTGATGAAGAAGCCAGTGTGATTTTGAAATCTTGCAACATGTAATTGTGCATTTTGGTTGGTCCAATAAAGGTATCATTGTTTGGATATTATTGGATTTGCTATATGGCCAACACGGCTACCCCTAGATATTTATAAGGAGATCAGTTTTTAAAATTCCTGTGTAACTTTAAAGATGGACTAATTTATCATGGATGCAGTATAGTGGTTTGGGCATCGGATTATGACTCTGGAGACCAGGGTTCAAATCCTAGCTTGTCCATGAAACCCACTGGGTGACCTTGGGCAAGTCACACACTCTCAGTCTCAGAGGATGACAATGGAAACTCCCCCTGGAAAAAAATATTGCAAAAAAAGAAAAAACCACTATGATAGGTTCACATTAGGTTCTCCATAAGTTGGAAACTACATGAAGGCACAACAATTTATAATGACATAGGGTTTTTGTGTGCTGGAGTCCACATCTGAAATTGCATCTGATGATGGGCACTCTAGTCCAGGGATCGGCAACCTACGGCCCGGGGGCCGGTTAAGGCCCCAGGCCCCGGACTTACCGTCCCAGGCCGAAGGTTGCCGCCGTCGCCGCGCGCCACCGCCGCCACCGCACACCGCCGTCGGGCCGTGTTTTCGGCCGCGCTCATCGTGGCCGCCATTTTGGAAGTCAAAATGGCGGTCGCAACACGTTTGTGCATGCGTAGTACTCTTGCGCATGTGCAAACGCGTCGCGTCTGCCATTTTGACTTCCAAAATGGTGGCCGCGACATGCGCCGTGGCGGCTGCGGCTGTGCGTGCTATGGCAGTGGCCATAGTAGTGGCCGCGGCGGCAGCGTGCGCGGGGGGTTGCGCGTGGTGGAGGGATTGCGCACGCGCGTGAGCGTGCGCACCACCTTCCCCCCCCCCTCGGCCCAGCCGAGAGGCAACCCTTTTGAGACCGGCCCAGGTCTCAAAAAGGTTGCCTGTCCCTGCTCTAGTCCATGTGTGCTTATGCCATAATAAATGTGCTAATCTTTATGATGCTACAAGATTTGTTTGTTGATTTTGCAACATTGGACTAAATGGGCTAACTTCAGGAAGTTAAATGGCATTTTGTAACATCTGTATATCTGCAGGTTAGGTTCTGCTCAAGCACATAGATAGAAGGCGCCAGCTCCAAAGCAACAGGGTCCCCTCTGGAGTTCTGAAACTCAATCATTGTTTTTCCTGAATCATCCTGCTGGGGCCTCCATCTGAACAGAGCAGGTCAGCAGAACACATTCCAGGACCTTGAACGTGTTTGGGCAAGTGTATATGCTGAGTATCTTAGCATGTACTCTTGCCTCTCCCTTTCTTCGTGCCTAATCATAAATTCTTCAGAACAGAGTTATGATTTCTCATTGCTCTTAAAAAGACATTTCCAGTCCAGCTTCCAGCTTTAATCATGATTAGACTTTTTTTAAAAAATCCCAAAAACCTCCAACAGATACCTCTCCAATGGGTAACCATCTCTCTGGTTAGCTTTAGTTGTGCATTCCTGCATGGCAAAGGGTTGGAGTAGATTGCTCTTTCATTCCCTTTCAATTCTGTGATTCCATGATCTGGAAGGCCGCATGATTCCAACCTTGGGTTTAAAGATCTAAATGAACACAAAAATATAAGAAGTGACTTGTTGGATCAGATATTAGGTCAAGCATAAAAGAGTGTCTCTCAGAAATGTACTTTTAGAACATGAAAACAGCAGCATATCTAATCTCTTCCCTCCCCACCCCCCGTGCCATCTTGAATTATAGGATGCATATTTTCTGAAACAAGAGGTTTAATTTACCCTCCAACAGTCCTCTCTGGATTTCTTTAATCCACTTTAAAAGCCAAAATAAACAAAATAAATTGTATTCAAAATGCAACTGCCGTCTCTTTCTCTCCATGTTGGCAATTTTATTTTCAATAATTTTTCTAATAAGTTCTCACATCAAATATACCCAGTGCTATGCACTTGTTGGTTTAGTCACCTCAACCTCAGCCTACATTAATGTTTTCTCCTGTCCCCAAGCAAGATGGATTGTTTTACATTTGCCATTTTGTTTCCCATTCACCTAGTATCAAGAGAGTTTTGGGGAGCTTATTACAAGCTGCTTGGGTCTTCAACATCCTACACATTTTGCAGAAAAGTTGCCTATTCCAATACTGACCCTTTGATTCCTGATTATTTATGAAATAAAGTTGCATCAAGTTCAATAAAAATGGGAGGGGAAGGCATTTTTATTGTATAAGAACAACTTGTTTTCATCTACCCTCTATTTCTTGTTCTGCAATCTTTTATCACTTTACAAAAAGTTCCACCCTTTTATTCCATGCTACATTTACTCAGGAATTTTGGGTGAAGGACTTTTACCCAGCCTGAATATATCCAATCTTGTGTGATTTCTTGTGTGAAACTGAGCAAGGTCTGACTGGGTCAGTATGTGATGGGAGACCATGAGGGAATTTTAGGAACCACTGAGCAGGACTAAGAGGGGAGGGGGAATCTGCCAAAACACTGGAGAGCTGCTGGGTGTCCACTGAAAATATTAGGCAGATGCACCAATGGTATGACTCACAACAATAAAGCAGATTCCTATGTCCTATTTGGACATTCTTCTTGTTGTGTTCATGAAGTTACAAGGTGGGAAGACTGTCCCTGATGTGGCATACATGATCTGGGCTGATTCACAGGATTCTTGCATATGGCACAAACATCTCTCATGAAAGAGACCTATGTAGATACAGTCATACAGGTATAGGTACCCCATTAATCTAGGCCCCCAGTGGTCGAGGGCTGTGGATGACATGGATGCCTAACATGTACAGTTGAATCCACATTGGCCTCCCTTCTACAGAACAAATGCAATGCAAGAGTGGGAGCCTCAATTGTATAATACGCAAGATCTTAGGCATAGGTTCTCACAACCCCATTCCAAGTATGTGTCTTGGTGAGCATGGTAAGAGGTAAATCAAACAGGGCTTTTGTCTAAAAAAAAATTGGATGGCCAGATGTATATATTGGATCATTACTGTCTACATGCTTTTTGTCTTTCTCAAGAGCTTTGTATGGTTTGTGAGGCAGGACTTTTAATGAATCGTGTTGGGTTTTCTTCGAGAAAATTTCTTCTTAAGTAAACTGTTCAAAGCATACTTTAAGCAAAAGTATGACTGCTGTAGTTTGTTGCAGGAAAAAAAAAAAGAATTTGAGGAGTATTCCTTGAGATATCAGATCTGGCCACAGTGACACATGCCTTAGTTACATCCCAGTTGGATTACTGTAATAAACTCTACATGGGGCTGCCTTTGAAGAGTGTTCAGAAACTACAACTGATTCAAAGAGCCACAGCCAGATTGCTAACTGGGGCTGGCAACAGAAACACACACAACTCCTTTATTGCAACAGCATCAGTGGCTGCTGGCCCGTTTCCAGGCACAATTCAAAGTGCTGGTTTAGACCTATAAAGCCCTATATGGCTCAGGTCCAGGTTATTTGAAGGATTGCATTCTCCCTTATGAACCAGTCCATGCTTTGAAATGTTCTAGGGAGGCCCTTCTCTCTGTCCCATCACCCTCACAGGTACCTCCAGTGGGAACATGGGAGAGGGCCTTCTTAATGGCTGCTCCCAGACTCTGGAACTCCCTTCCCAGAGAAGTTAGACTGGCACCCTCCCTATTTTCTTT